AGGATCCAAGTTCAATTCCCAGCACCCACACTGGGTGGCTCGCAACTGCCTATAAATCCAGTACTGCACTCATATGCACAACCCACCCAACATATGCACATAATTTAAAAATAATAAAATAATTTATATAAAATGTTAGATTTTTGGAAAATAAAAGGAAAGATAGAGGAGTGGGAGACAAGGAACCAGAGTCAGAGCTGTGACAGGCAGGAATATATCATCCTTATTCAAAGAAGATACAGTGAAGGTAGACCACGGGAACCAGGCTTCTACAACTAAACAAAGAAAATGGGGTTTTTAGACCAGGGTTGTGGGGCACAGCTGCACTTAGTGGGAAGTCGAGTTAGTGCCCCGGCTTGGTGTCCTTGGAGTGATTGAGGGTCTCCTTCTCAAAATTATTTCCCCAGAAACTGACAGAAGTGTTATCTATGGCCCTAGAGGAGACAGGTGGGCTCCTTAAACACTTTCTCTCAGGCTTGGGAGTGACCAACTGATAAGGGTCACGAGCAGAGGCAGACATGAGCAAGGCCAGGCTGCCAATTTAGGGCCAGTTAGACATGTTAAGGGATTTATGGTTTTCCCTAATGAGGCTTGTGGCTTTTCTGCAATTCACACATTCTATCATAAAAAATAAGGCAGGCAGCAATAGAGGATGACACCTGATTATTGCCTAGCATTAACCACTGGTCTTCACATGGCTGTACATGTGCACATGTACACGTGTATACACACACATACACACACACACACACACACACACACAGAGTCATCTAGTCCAGGGGCTGTTTTTTCCTGAGAAGGATTAGATACACTATATTTTCAGCTGTTGCAGATGTTGAAATGGTCAATGCTGTTGTGGCAAAAACAGCAACTGCAGATGAGATGCTAACAAGGAGGAAGCTATGTGTCAATAAAACTTTAAAGACAAAAGTTACAGGCTACGTTCATTTGTTTGTCGGCATGGTGCAGACAGAACCCAGCTATCACACATGTAGGCAGGAGACAGTATCCAGGGTCTCCGGCACGCTGTAAGTGCTGTGGGGGAGCTTAGTTGGCACCACAGGCTTGGCGGGTGCTCTACCACAGAGGTGGGCTGGGGTGGGCATGCACATTGGCACTGTGTTCACATAGTCTTTACCTAATTCAGAAGTCTTCTTTCCTTGGCAGCTCACTCAGGTTAACAGCCAGTTCCTAGCAAATCCTGTACTCCTACTGGGGCAGGCCATACCATCTGACCTTCACTTTGACTTCTCTGCTGCCGTCTACCCACTAATTTAGAGGTTCATTTCCTTCACTAGTTGAGCTGGGAGTTTTCCCAGCCACCTCCAGGCAGATGTAAACAAGAAAGTAAGTTGTATGGATCGTAAGTACCCACATCTGCAGTAACTACCGGGGGGTGGTTGCGACACCATACACCAGAAAGTTCTCATAACGTCCGTTGGGCGTCTCAGTGTATGTTAAACTGACTCCACCTGTGAATCTTGCTCTTTAAAAAAAAAATTTATTGAGCTTTTGTACATTTTATACAACAGTTCTTAATCAAATTTAGACCACCTCCCCCATCCTTACCCCCACCTCCCCTCCTCTTCTGGACCTCAGGCATTTAGCCGTACATGTTAAGTCCTAGCCAGTCAAGCATTTGTACCCAGATGTCCTTTGGTGCAAGTTCATCCACTGGAGTCTCGTCAGCCTGTCTAGGGATCTTAAAGACCTACTCTCCCTTACCTAGTAGTAATCAGACAAGGGTCCAGAGTGGAAAGAGGGGAATGGGCAGCGGGCGGGCCCTAGCCTGGGAACTGCTGGAAACTGAATCTTGCTCCTTTTTAAAGAGAGTCAGTGTGAGCCAGCTGCGGGGCACACCTGTTATCCTTGCACTCAGGACACAGAAGCAGAATTTTAAGTTCTGGACTAGACTTGGTTACATGAGACCTTTTCTAAAAAACAAAACAAAACAAAACAGGATAATTGGACAACTTGGGGGCATTCTGCAGACTAAAATAAGCCAAAGAAATTGAGTCGTTTCTATGCCTAGGAGGTTCTTAGAGCTGGAAACTTAGAGCTGGAGAACAGGTGCAGGAGAGAATCGCACCGGAGACCAAGGGCTAGTGGTGAGGAAGATCAGCTTTGCAAGAGGAAAAGTTGTGGTGGGTGAGGGGTATGTCTCAGTACTACAGTCCTACTAGCTGAGCATTCGAGAGATCCAGGATTCAATCTTAGCACTGTAAAAAGGAGCGTTCTGGGCCAGGTGTGGTGGCACATGCCTTAATCCCAGCACTTGGGAGGCAGAGGTAGGCAGATCTCTGAGTTTCAGGCCAGCCTGGTCTACAGGGCTATCATCCTGGTCTACAGGGCTACATAGTGAGTCTCAAAACAACAGTTTACAGTATGGACTTGGATCTTTTGGTGTGTATGGTGCCAAGGATGGAACTCAGGACCTGCTGCATGCTAGACAAGTGCTCTACCACTGAGTCATGCCCCCAGCCCCTCAATGGGGGATTCTAGGTAGGGTCTCTAACCGAGCCATACCATACAAGCTACTAAGTCCTGCAGCTGAAATTAACCTGAACTTGAGATCCTCAGAGTTCTTACACCTACCTACCCAGGATGCCAGATCAGCACGTCCTGCTCTTCATCCCCAACCACAGGCCAGCCAGTTGCTCCTTCCCAAAATAGGCTTGAGGCTATTTATTTCTACTTAAGCTGTCCTATCAGAAAGTGAGACCCTTGTCGGAGGAAGGCAGGCCATATCCCTAATCCTCTCAGCTGCTCCAGGAGCTGAGGTCAAAACTCTCTGTAGCTTATAGACTGGATTTCACATCCCAACTCCAGGCCCCATCTTGTGCCAAGGGCTCACTACCTAAATCCAGGTTTTAGCAGTTGTGAATAATGCTGGGGTGAACATGGGGTACCAGGACTGCCAGGCCCCCTTGGGCAAAATCCTACTCAGCAATTCTAATTCCTCCCTCCCTCCCTCCCTCCTTTTGTCCCCCCTATTCCTTTCTCTGTCTCTTTCTTCTAAGACAGGGTCTCATTGTAGCCCATGTTGACCTCAAACTCCTGATCCTCCCAAGAGACAGAATGTTCTTCCCAGTTTGGACCTGAGAACTGAGGTTCCCTGAAAAAGTCACCAGTGATATTCTGTGACGCTGATTAGAACTTCGTATTTGTGGCAAGGTGGAATGTTGCAAATCCGGAGCCAGATTATCTTGGACTATTAAAGAATCTCCTTGGAGGCCCTTTACCACCTCTCTCTGTCTTAGACCTAACATTCTTTTGAATATCAAGTAAAGCCTTTGTGGGGCTGGAGAGCTGACTCAGTAGTTAAGAACACTGGCTCCTTCTGCAGAGGACCTAGGTTTTGGTCTCGGTATCCACATGTTGGCCAACAACTGTCTGTGACTCCAGTTCCAGGGGGATCTGATGCCCTCTTCTGACCTCCATGGGCATTGCACAACATGGGTGCACTCATATACATGCAGGCAATACACTCATACACATAAAATAAAAATAATAAAATATTTTTTAAAAGGTGGACAGCAGGGCTGGAGAGATGGCTCAGCAGTTAAGAACGCTAGCTGTTCTTGGAGAAGACCCAGGTTCGAATCCCAGCACCCACATGGCAGCTAACAACTGTCTGTAACTCCACATCCAGGGAATCTGACAGCCTCTTCTGTCCTCCGCAGGCATTGCATGACACGGGTGCACTTACCTACATGCAGGCAATACACGCATACACATAAAATTAAAAAAAGGTGGACAGCACTTGAGGAATAACCAGAGTTCCTCTGGTCTCCATATGTGCTCACAGACACATGTGCACCTCCACACACAGTCTGCAGTGGGCACTCATGGACACCGTTGTGTGGACATACTTGGATAGACATGTACAAGTATAATGGTTAGGTTACCTGTGTTCAACCCCAGTTGGCTGCACCTCTTGACATTCCCACCAAAGTTAGGACAGTTCCAACCACCCCACCTCTTTCCCAGCACTTAGTGTGATCAGTCTTTAAACTCTTAAACCTCCCCTGCAACACATTTTTAAAGACAGTCTCATGTAGCCCAGAGTGGCAACAAACTCACTTTGGCTTTTTTGTTTTCTAAAAATATTTTATGAGTGTATGAGTGTATTGCCTACATGTGTATAAGTGTACCTGTGTCATGCAATGCTGGTGAAGGTCAGAAGAGGGTGTCAAATCCCCTGGAACTGGAGTTACGAATGGTTGTTAGTTGCCATGTGGGTGCTGGGAACAGAATCCGGGTTCTCTGCAAGAACAGCCAGTGTTCTTAACTGCTGAGCCGTCTCTCCAGGCCCAACAAACTCACTTTGTAACTGACAACTGACAGTGATCTTTGAACTTCTGATCCTCCTGCCTCCACCTCTTTAGGTACGTGAATCAGGACACCTGCTTAACAATGGCTTAATAATTGACTTTTTGTTTTACATTTGTTTGTGTGTGTGTGCACGTGTGTGTATATTCCACATACGTGTGGGTACTTGCAGAGGTCAGAAGAGAGTGTTGGATCTTTTGGAGCTGGAGTTATAGGCAGCTGTGAGCCATTTAATGTGGGTGTTGGGAATTGAACTCAGGTCCTCTGGAAGAGCAGCAAATGCTCTTAACCACTGAGTCACTTCACAGGCCCTTGTTATTGACTTTTCCGAACTCTTTATATATCATGAATACAAAATTTTAATCAGATGTGTGATTTGCAAATATCTATTAGTCTGTGGCTTGGCTTTTTCTCTTTCTTAGTGCTAGGATCTCACTTTGTAACTCAGGCGGGCTTGGAAGTGGTGCTCCTCCTGCCTTGGCCTTTTCCTGAGTGTGAGTTCTCCTACCTGGGAACTCCTACTTGCACCACTGTCACCATCTGGCTAAGCCATGGAGGGCTGCCAGCAGCTCTGCTCCCGAGGAGATACCATGTCTCCTAGACAGACCCCACTGTATCTGGCTATACCCTACATGTTGAAGCTAGGTGAATCAGAGGAGCCATGGCAGTTTACTTGAAGTGGATTTATTGACTGACAACTCACGCTGAGCTTTGACAGACACACAGATGAAACCAAGGGTCTCCAGCCTCAGGACCCACCCTACCTCCGGGCAGTGCTGGAAGAAGGCACTTTCTCAATAAACAGGCAGCACTGGGGAATCCCAACTGGATCTGTGCCTGACACAAACCTGAGACTGGCCATGCCCATCCACTTACCTCATTCAGATGGCCTGGTGACTCTGGCCACATGCCCTATACAAGTTCCAGGCCCTCCCCAGCAGCACTCTACAAGCATGGATCAGACTGAATACACAATGCTGATCTGGCACGAGGGACACTTGATGCTCTGGGGCTCAACTGTGAGGACTCAGAGCTGTTGGATCTTGGACCCTTGGGCCTTCATGCAAGTGGCCACATCTCTGGCTTGTGGACACACTTGCAAACCTTCTTGACTCTTTAGACTGCCTGAGATGTGTCTGCTGGGCTGGGTAACTTGTGAGGTTCTCTGAGCTCCAGTGTCCCCTCGTGACAACTGCTATTAGAAAACTCTCTGACATTATCAGTACTACTCTACACAGGAGGACCCAGGGTCTCCACACTACAGAAGGGACACAAGGCTCAGAGAAGGGAGGCAAGTTGCCCAAAGATGCCCAGCAGGAGCCATGGAATTCTAGGGATGCTGAGAAGAGATCCTAGGTAGCCCTGACTAGAACCCCAGCCCCTGGTGCTCAGGAGGCATTGGATGTTGAGTGAATCTCCATGGGGCTTGAAGTTTTTTGTCACAAGATAAAATTTGAAAGAATTAAGAAACAAAACCACCTGGCAGGGCTTTGGACCATGGGTGCTCCAGGGCTGTGTGTCCCCCCGAAAGGTTTCGACTTTCTAAGGGCTCTGGCAGAGAGCAGGGCTGTCAGTTCCTACCCAGCTCCTCCATCCTCGAATCTCATTTAACCCCTGCAAGCAGCCCTGAGACAGGCTGGTGGCTCTGAACTGCAGATGGGGAAGGCCAGTGGGGAACTCTGGGCCCTGGCTGCCCCTAAGTTCCGAGGTTCCCTGAGACTGAGTCATTCTCCCCAGCACCCCCACCAGGCCCTCAGGCTGCCCGCTAATCGGCCTTCTTTGTCTTCTTCTTTCTGGAACCTTCGCTCAGCTCCTCCTTGCACTTGGCTGGTAGGGCAGAGTGCTGCGCACCCAGCCCACCTCCATGGGGTGCTCCATGGTTGTCATGGTGATGGTCATCCCCCCAAACTGCCCCAAACAGCACTGGGCAGATGTAACCCTCCAGGATATCAAATGGAGAACTGTGAGAGTGTGTGGCCGTCAGGAACACCTAAGGGGGTACGCAAGAAACAGGCAGAAAGGAAAGTGAGAAAGATCTGTGGTAAGATGGGGAGGTGGCCCAGCCCCTGCCCTCTGACTCTCCCAACCCTGAGAGGGTTGACCTACCTACCATCCTGGAGTCTGGGGGTAGGACTTCCTGTGTCCACACCTGGACTGTCCCCCAGATGATAGGTCAACCATCCCCCCACAGGATCTCCCAACACCTGGGCTCCAATGCTAGATTTTGTCCTTGGTGGGTTTGTTTGTTTGTTTGAGACAGGGTCTCATATAGCCCGTGCTACTCTCCAACTCACTATGTAGTCAAGGCTGGCCTTGAGTTCCTCCTGCCTCTTCCTCTGCAGTGCTGGGATGACTAGAGTGTGCTACAATGTCCCGTTTGTGCAGTGCTTGGGGTAGAACCCAGTGCTTTGTGCATGCTAGGAAGGCACTCTTCCAACTGAGCTACAAGCACTCCAGCTGAGCTATACCCCCAGTCCTTCAGGGGCTGTGGTCTACATGTCTGTGTCACCCCTCCCCCAGATTCTTTGTTGAAATCTATTAAAAGGTGAGGTCTTAGCTGGGCGTGGTGGCGCACACCTTTAATCCCAGCACTCGGGAGGCAGAGGCAGGCGGATCTCTGTGAGTTCAAGGCCAGCCTGGTCTACATAGTGAGTTCCAGGTCAGCTGGGGCTACAGGGAAATCCTGTCTCAAAAAGACAAAAAAAACGGGGGCTAAGGAAATCCTGGTCCAAAAAAAAAAAAAAAAAAAAAAAAAAGGTGAGGTCTTTGGGAGGTGACAGGTCACTGGTACGGCCCTCAGAAATAACATTAACGAGCTTATGAAAGAGGTACAGAGGAGGCAGGGGAGGTGCTAAGGGACAAAGCTCACAAAACTGTGAGCAATAAATTCACTCCTTTTCCTCTTTTCTCTTCCATCTTTTTTTCCTTTAAAAAAAAATGGAGTTTTGTTTAGTTTGCTTGCTTTTTTGAGACAGGGTCTTACTATGTACCTCCAGCTGGCCTGGAGCACCTCATGTAGACCAGACAGAGAGCCTCCTGCCTCTGCCTCCCAAGTGCCGGGATTAAAGGTGTGTGACACCACGCCCTGCTGCTTTTTTGTTTTGTTTTTTGAGACAGGGTCTTTTGGCGCCCGGGATGGCCTCGAACTTGCTATGTAGCTGAGGATAACCTAAAACTCCTGATCCTCCTGCCTCCACCTCCTGAGGGCTGGGATGACACATGTAAGTCACCCATGCCTAGTTTCTTTTTTGAGACAGGCTCACTATATAGTCTGCGCTGGCCTTAAACTCCTGATCCTCTGGCTTCAGCCTCCACAGTTGGGCTTTCTTCTATTTGATGGCTGTGGTCCTTTCTCAGGGATGACACAGCCCTTTTGTGCTTTGGGGAACTGGTGGCAGAGTCCCTCAGCCCAGTTCAAGGAGGATATTGGGCAGGTCGGAGCACCGTTCCTGGTCCAGCCTGGTGGTGACTCCCAGCTTCCTATTTCCCTAGGCACCCAGCACCCAGCCTTTGATAAACCCATTGTCTTCATCCCTGTCCCCACCTGCTTGGCTCATGTCCCCCCACCTCCTGATGGGCTTCTGTCTATCCTGCGTGGACCATATCCGCTGGGAGTGTCCACATTTCTCCATCCCATCTCAGGAGACTCAGTTTGGTGATGGTCATGGGCAGAGGGCAGCTTACCTTACAGGACACCATGAACATGGTGAAAATGAAGATGAGGTTGGCCTTGGACACCGGGAGCCATCGGGTCTGCTGCAGGGTGAACAGGATGGCGCCGTATAGACTGGCCTTTGTGGGGCTGGAAGGAACAGCTGTTGTCAACATGAGGGTCCCCACAGCTCTGTCACTGCACCCACTCCCCATACCTCTGCTCCAGCCCCCATCCCAGGGTCTCCTGCGTGTGTTTGTGCAAGTCAATGTGTAGGGTGGTATGTGTACTCGACTGTGTAGAGGCCAGAGGTTCACAATGGGGGAGTTCTTCCTCAATCACTCTCAATCTTTAAAATAATTTTATTACATTTAGTTGGGTAATTAATTTAGTGTGTGTACCCTTCCCTCTTATGTTGCTTCTGTCAGGTATTTTGTCACAGCAACGAGGTGGTAACTAACATACCCTGTAAGCCCTCGAAACTCTGAATTCTGAGAGTGTAATGGCCCCAAGTGGGGTCCCCCAAATTGTAATTGCCAAAGTAACTTCATTTTGTATAACACAACCACTTTAAACTTCAAAAGCTAGGAAAATAGCCAGCTTCAAGGTTAAGAGCCTGAACTTAGTTGCTTCCCCTGAGAAGAGTGCTTTCTGGGGAGTAACTGACCTTGATCACCCCGCACACACTGCAGCTGTGCTTCTTGCCTAGCCCAGACGCCTAAATAACAATAGTAATCAGAAAGTGCCTTACTGTCAAGGTCTCTATAGGCCTGTTAAGAGAAGAACTGACAAACTTGTTCTGGCTTCTGTAGTTTGCTTATCTGCTAACTTGGGGCATCCTGACCCTATTCAGGACCACTTGGCATTCCTCATGTGTGATGAAATTCCTATGGTATTTGTGGTCTTTGCCTTTAAGCTAGTCCCCCCTCCCCTGGGGCCGTGGGTCCTGAATCTGACTAAGGGACCACAAATGGCTATAGCCCTAATAAATTTGTCCAATTAAAACCTGAACTGGAGGCCAGGTGTGGTAGCACACGCCTTTAATCCCAGCACTAGTAAGGCAGAGGCAGGCAGATCTCTGTGAGTTCAAGGCCAGCCTGGTCTACATAGTGAGTTCCAGGGCAGCTGGAGCTACTGGGAGACCCTGTCTCAAACAAACAAAAAAATCCTTGAATTGGGTCTGGTGGTCTTTTTCCCAGTGGTTTAAAACTCTACAACAAGAGCATCTTTTGTACCCACATATCTAAAAGATCCCTCACAGATGTGCCCAGAGAACTGATAGCCTCTAGTCACTTCACAATATTCATGGTGGGCTACTCAGCCTCTACAGGAACAGGAGGCTAAGATTACCCTGCAGATGGCTAACCATGCCTATGTTACTGAGTCCTAGCAAAGCCTCAGGACACTAGGGCTAGGCTGAGCTTCTCAGGCAACCTGTCCACCTCTACTGTGTCCCACATCACTGCTGTGAGATTTAAATTTTTTTGTTTGTTTGAGAGCGGGTCTTGCTATGTAGCCTAGTTTAGCCCCCTGGAAGCTTAGCAATCTTGTTTCACATCCACCCAAGTGCTCAGATTACAGGCAGGAGCCACCACACCTGGCTTTCTGGGAGAGCTGAACAGTGGCTGTGTGACTCCTAGGAGGGGACAACTGGGAGGTTGCCCCTTGCGTCTCCTGACTTCTTCCCCTAGCGCCATTTTCTTTGCCCCCTCCCCAAGGAGGAAGGGGAAGAGACAAAGTTTGATTGTGTAGCCCAGACTGGCCTCAAAGTCACAATCTTCCTGCCTCAGCCTCCTGAGTGTTGAGATGACAGATGTGTACCACCCAGTCCAGCTCCTCTGCTGATTTTTCTTGGGGGGGTCTTTCTGAGACAGGGTCTCTCTGTAGCTCCGTCTGGTTTGGAACTCACTATGTAGACCAGGCTGGCCTTAAACTCATAGAGATCCACCTACTTCTGACTTCCAAGTGCTGGGATTAAAGGCATGTGCCACCAGGCCCTCGTGGTCTTGTTTTTATGGCTGTCCTGTTCCATACTGAAGACTGGGTAAAAGCCTGTAAGGGCCTTTAAGAATACATAGTTGGGGGGAGGGCAGTGGCATTGTGGTTCACCAGGTAAAGCTGCTTACTACCAAGCCTGATGATCTGAGTTCATCCCTGGGATCTACATAGTGAGAGAACTGACCCCTAAAAGTTGTCCTCTGACTTCTGCCAAGTGTCCCCACACATAAACACTACATTAATTAACAAATAAACAAACATGGGCTAAGGTGGCTCAGTGGCTAAAGAGCTTGCTCCATGGCATGAGGACCTGAGTTTGGATCCCAAGAAAACAGAATAAATGCCCCTGGGTGGGCATGGTATCCCATCAGTAATTCCAGTCCCAGAAGGTAAAGACTGGGGGTCCCCAGAGCAAGCTGGCAAAGGAGACTAGCCAGATCAAGACCCTGCCTCAGAGAACCAGGGGAGAGCAACGGAGGATGACAGTAACCTCAGGCCTCCAGGAGCATGCACACATGCGTGCACATGCACCCCACGTATAAAACACACACACACACACACACACACACACACACACACACACACACACCCCACATAAGCAAAGGAAAGAAGACAAATAAATAAATGGAATAAAAGGAATGCATTGGGTCCACTGCATTGTGGAACCCTGCGTGGGCCATAGTGCTATTACGTAGGCCCATCTGCAGTTCCCTGTGCACCCAGAGTCTCCACCCATGCTCCACTGTCCTCATGCCCACTCACATCTGCACCCTACCCTCTGGACCTCGTAATGAACCTGAATTTTTCTGACTTAACAGTGGCAGAGATACTGGTCTCTGGGGGGAGCGTTTTCATAGCCAAATCCAAGCTGTCCCTGTCTCTACCCTACAGGCACAGGTGTGCGTCCTGCTCTGGGCTTTCCCACCAGTCTCTGGATACTTCAGAAATGGGCAGGAGCTGAGGCTTCTCCAAATTATCAGTAATACTAAACCCAGGGCCAGGGAGGGCCCATGTGGGGGTACTCACAAGGACATGTGCAGGATCTCATTGTTCTCTGGCTTCCAGATCCCTCGAAGCAGCTGCTCCAGATTGGACAGGAGTGCAACACCAGAGCCTGTGGACAGGGCACTGCTGAGCAGCTCCTCCATAACCCCCTTTCTTCTCCCTGAATTATTTATTTTAAAAATTATTTTATGTATGTGTGGGGTTGTGTGTGTGTACGCATAAGCATGCCACACCATGCATGCAGAGGTCAGAGAACAACCTGTAAAAGCCAGTTCTCTCCTTCCATCATGTAGGCCCTAGAGATTGAACCTCAGGTCATCAGTCTTGGCAGCAAGCACCTTTACCTGCTGGCCCCTAAATTTTTAAAAATTATATTTGTTTGGAGAGAGAGAGAGCGTGCCAATCAATCGATCATGGCATGTATGTGGATGTCAGAGGACAATTTGCAGGAGTTGATTCTCTCCTTCCACTATGTGGGTTCTAGGGATCAAACTCAAGTTATCAGGCTTGGCAACAAGAGCCTTTACCTGCTGAGCCACCCTGAAAGTCCATAATATAATTTTTTTTTTTTGGTCTTTTTGAGACAGGGTCTCCCTGTAGTCCCAGCTGACCTGGAACTCACTATGTAGAACAGGCTGGCCTTGAACTCAGAGATCTGTCTGCCTCTGCCTCCTGAGTGCTGGGATTAAAGGCGTGTGCCACCACGCCCGGCAATAATATAATTTTTAAAAAGATTTATTTTTATGTGCATGAGTGTTTTACACGTATATGTGTACTATGTACATGCCTAGTGCCCCTAGAGGCCAGAAGAGGGTGTCAGATCCTCTGGAACTGGAGTTACAGGTGGCTGGTGAGCTGACATACAGGTACTGGGAACTGCAGCAAGTGCACTTAACTGCTGAGTCACTGCTCCAGTCCCAGTTTCTATTTTTAATGGTCTTATTATTTGTATGATGTGTGTGGGCACATACCATAGTGATCATGTGGAGGTCAGAAGGGAACTAGTGCGAGTCAGTTCTCTCCTTCTACCATGTAGGTCCTGGGGATCGAACTCAGGTCACCAGGCTTGTGCTGCAAGCTCCTTTACCCACTGAGCCATCTCACAGCCCTCTGTGGTGATTTTTTTTATCCTGTCATCTTCCTGTTTACCTTTGACCCACCCAGTGGCGATCATGACAAACCACCCATGGTGGTAGTGATGATGTGCATGATGGATGCCCACGGCGATCTTGCGGACCCTCACCACCTCCTTCATGGCCACAAAGATGAGTTTCACAGGCAGGAAGCAGACACACTTGTAGAAGAGGTCCAGGGGACAGAAGAAAATCAAGTACCTTTGCAAATAGAACATTTCAGGTTGGGGGAGGGGCAGACCACAGGGTTCATGACAGATCCAGGCCAGGAGGGTAGTGTGTTTGGAAGACACCATGCAGATTGCTATAGGGGGCTCCTTGGTACTTCAACCTCCCACATCCCACATGGTGGGGTCCACCCTAACCCCCAGATCTCCCTTCCTAGGTCTCGCTTTACTCACCACACTGCAGAAGCCAGCAGGACACTGGAGTTATTGCTGAAGTAATCAATGACAGGCTCCCCAAGGAGCAGGTCAGCCAGGATATAACTCCCAAAACAGTGTAGCATGGCGCATAGCCAGGATGCCACTGGGTGGCGGCGGGACAGCTCCACAGCTCCTGGGAGGCACAGGAATTCCCAAGAGGATGCTACACCCTCACAGGCTCTGGTAACTTGGATGCCTCCACTGCTCCCCCAATCCCATTCTAGGGATTATACCTGGGGCTTCGTGGATGCTCATCTGGCACTGGGATGGAACCCAAGACCTTATACATGCTGAGCAGGCACTCTACCACTGAGCCCACTCCACCTAGCCACTGTTATCAAAGCTTCCATTTGATGCCAGATCATTGTCAATTTCCTTGTTAGAATCCAAGCTCAGGTACAGAGTAAAATTTGAGAGAGAGCAATGGTGATTTGCCTGTGTACACTGAGCTACTCTGCTGGATCTCAGACATCCCGAGGTGTTATAGATCTTTATGCCAAAATTACCCTATCTTCTAATGCGACATCCCAGAGCTGCTTATCACACAGTTCCCTCCCTAACGAGCAGTTTCATTTGGCAAAAAATGACTTTAGGACCAAGCTGTAAGCCCTGATGATGCTCACGCTGCAGACAATACCAGTGAGGATATGCTACAGTTTGGATATGGTTTGATCCTAAGATTCAAGTGTTGGGAACCTGGTCCCCAATATTTTACACACATGCAAACACATACACACACAAACATATACTCACATAACCACATACTCACACACATACACATGCACACACACACTCCAACATATACACATACATATACAAGCACATATACATACACATAATAAATAAAAATGTTTAAAATAGATAAATATAACCCTTAAATAACTCAACTCAGTGTATACATAGCAAGGTACAATATACCCACAGAGGATCGCTGTGAGATGGAGGCCAGTCTGCTCTACATAGCTGGTATCTGGCCAGCCTGCTCTACATAGCCAGCGCCTGGCCAGCTGGGGCTACAGGGAGACCCTGTTTCAAAAAAGACCAAAAAAAGAGCTGGGTGTGTTGGAACAGGCCTTTAATCCCAGCACTTGGGAGGCAGAGACAGGCGAATTTCTGTGAGTTCAAGGCCAGCCTGGTCTACATAGAGAGTTCCAGGCCAGCTGGGGCTATAGGGAGACCCTGTCTCAAAAAGACCAAAAAAAAAAAATTTATTTCTGTGTCTGAGTGTTTTGCCTGCATGTAAATGAACCCGTGTTATACAATGCCTATGAGGTCCCCTGGACCTGGACTTTCAGATGACTGTTAGCTGTCATGTGGGAGCTGGGAACCAAATCCAGGTCCTCACTAAAAGCAGCCAGTGCTCTTAACCACTGAGCCATGTCTCCAGCTCAAAATATTGTAATCTTTTGTTACTCATACCAAAGACCAATCAAGGGCTAGGGAGATGGCATATAAGTGTGAGGACAGGAGTTTGGATCTCCAGAACTGATTAGACTCTCAAAATAATAACTGTGCCAGGTGTGGTGCTGCATACCTTATTCCCAGCACTCGGGAGGTAGATGCAGGTGAGTCTGTGAAATTGAGGTCATTCTAGTCTACACAGCAAGTTGAGGCCAGATGGAGCTACACGGAGACCCTGTTTCAAAAAGGGTCTCCAAATACACACACACACACACACACACACACGTATGTTGTGTATACTACTACTACTACTACTACTAACAATAATAATAATAATAATAATAATAATAATAATAATAATAATTGGGGCTGGAGAGATGGCTCAGTAGTTAAGAGTGTTTGCTGCTCTTCCAGAGGACCCAGATTCAGTTCCCAGCATCCACATCAGGCAGCTCACAACTGCCTGTAATTCCAGCTCCAGGATATCCAATGCCTTCTGGACTTGGAGGGCACCTGCACAAACATGTTGCATATATACACACCCAGGCACATATACACACACACAAACACATAAATAAGTTAAATAAATATTACAACCTTAACATAATAATAATAATAATAATAATAATAATAATAATAAGAATCACGCAGGCGGTAAAAATCTGATGACCTGAGAAACAATTCCTGCAAAGTGTCCTCTGAGCTTCCTGTGGCACTGGCGCAAGCACAAACACAATAAAAAACAATGCAATTGAAAAGTTAAAATAGGGTGGCTGGAGAGATGGCTCTGTGGTTAAGAGCACTGGCTGCTCTTGCAGAGGACCTGGGTTCAATTTTCAGCACCTACATGGCAGGTAACAAACATCTGTAACTCTACTTCCAGGGGATCTGACACCCTCTTCTGACCTCCAAGGGCACTATAGGACATGGGTGCACTGACCTACATGCAAACAATATACTCATATACATAAAATAAAAATAATAAATAATAAAATATTTAAAAAATGAAAAGCTAATGCCAGGTGTGGTGGTGCTCGCCTTTAATCCCAGCACGCAGGAGGCAGAGGCAGGCGGATCTCTGTGAGTTCAAGGCCAGCCTGGTCTACATAGTGAGTTTCAGGACAGCTGGGGCCACAGGGAGACCCTGTATCAAAAAGATTAAAAAAAAAAATGAAAAGCTAAAATAATGAAATGGCAAACAAAAGAAATAGTCAGACAAGCCAGGTACAGTGGTTAACTTTGGAGAGGGGGCGGGAAAAGGGAGGGTGAAGAGAAGGCAAGGAAGAGGGAGGGAGAAGGGAGGGGGAGGGGAGAGACAGAGAGAGGACAGAACCAAGCCTTGGATATGGAGCAGACACTCTCCCCCACCCTGGGCACCTATTTACAGGCCTCTCCAGAGTTAATCCCCAGGAGCAGCTGGCAAGTCACAGGCCAGGCCTGCTGAAGCCTCAAGCTCTGCAGTAACCTACACTGTGCATCTAAAAATAACTGCAGGGCAGCATTCTTTGCAGGGTCTTTCTTGTGACCTTTGGGACCATCCTGGAGATGGAGCTGCCAGGGAGGAGGCTGAGAGTTCAATGTGTGACAGATACTGTGACAAGCAGGCTCCCTGCTTTGTTCCATAAGTAAATCACAAATTAAGTCACATGTCCCCTTCTGGCTCTGCCACTCAGGCCCAGGTGACCCTGAGCAAGGGTTTGCTGCCAGTCCCCAGCCTCAATACCTCAATACCTCAGGCCGTCACAAGACAGAAGAATGGGATGGGTTTCTACCTTCCCCCCAAGGTATAATGGTTGAATGTGATCATGTCTCTTTAGCTTTATTTATTTGATGGTGTTTCTCTGTAATCCAGGCTGGCCTTGAACTTGCCACACTCCAACCTTGGCCTCCTGACTCACCAGGTCTGTGCTTATGGATTTTCAGGGTGTGTTTTGGAAAACCTGAAAAAGTTAAGTCTCTGGTTCTATTGGTCAAAGGTTGTCTGCCAGGATGAAAAGAAATTGCTTACAGCTTAGCAATTAGGCCAGAAATACTCCTGGGCCCGGAATGAGATGGAAAATATCTGGGGGTAGAAATTTCATAGCTCAGTCTTAAAAATTCATCCACTTTGGAAGTTCAGACTGCCTAGAATCTCCTAGAGAGGAGCTGGAGGTGTGGCTCAGAGGCAGAACCTCTGCCTAGAATCCCTCAGTGTTTCTCTCCAGTGAGGGAGATTAATGGTGGGGGAGCCAGTAGGGGAAGTATATAGAAACTGTCTTTTTCCCTTTTTAGTGCTAGGCCTTGCACACCTGGGATAGTACTTCTCCCAAGAGCCACAACCAAAGCCCCAAAGAGGTGTACTTTTGGCTTAATTTTGTTGTGGACCTAAAAATGCCCTAGCCTATTTATTAGTGCAGTAATTCAATTGGCAGAGTGCTGGTCTAGCCTACAAGAAGCACTGGGTTCCACCCCAAGCACCACATAAACCAAAGTGGTGGTGCAGGCAGAGAGGGGCTGGAGAAATGGCTCAGTGGTTAAGAGTACTGGCTGCTCTTGCACAGGGTCCAGGTTCAGTTCACAGCACCCATATCATGCTAACAACCATAGGTAACTCTAGTTCTAAGAGATCTGACATCCTCCTCTGGCCTCTTTGGGCACTGCATGCACATGGTGCCCTTTAGATACATATAGGCAAAACACTCATATACATAAAAATAAATAAATAAAATGTAAAAGAAAAACTTATGACTGGGGTTGAGGGTGCAGCTCAATTAGTTTAGTAGAGTACTTGCCTAGCAGGCACAAAGCCACCCCAAACACCACATAAAATTGGTCATGGTGGTGCACTGGGGATGTGGGGGCAGGTGGATCAGAAGTTCAAGGTTGCATAATGAGTTTGAGGTCAGGCTGAGCTGCATGAGACCCTGTCTTTAAAAAAAGTTAAAGCCAGGCATGGTAGCGCATGCCTTTAATCCCAGCACTTGGGAGGCAGAGGCAAGTGGACCTCTGTGAGTTCAAGGCCAGCCTGGTCTACAAAGTGAGTTCCAGGCCAGCTGGGGCTACAGGGAGACCTGTATCAAAAACACACACACACAAAAAAAATCCAAAAAGTTAAGGACCAGACATGGTGACCAAATACCTTCCAGTACTCGGGAAGCAGAGACAGGTGGATCTCTGTGAGTTGGATTCCAGCCTGATCTACATAGAAGGTTTCAAGACAGTCAGAGCTACACAATGAGACCCTGCCATGAAATAAAATAAAGAATCCAGAACTGTCATTCACTTGTCCTTGCATCCTACTGACATCACTGATCCTTCCTTGACAATCCAGGCAGCAAACCAGATTCCAGAGAGCTCCTGCTTTAACAAGCAGCTCCCAGCTCTTTCAATCCCTCCCTTCTAGTGTGCTTAAATGCATCACCCAGGCATGGTCAGATCCAGGCTCTGTGGGGCAGGTCTGGTGGGGCCCAGCCTTCTTCTGGTCCCATGTGGCCTGGATCAGAGCTCTCTCTCTGAGAATTTTATCCTCGCTCAGGAAATCTCTGGAAAGCCTGACCCAGAAAACACCAGTGCCCCCAATAATGCATTCTTCTGGAGCTTTCCAAATGAACAGAACCACATTTCAAAAAAGCCTTAGACCCTTCTAACCATGATCCATGCATCCATACTGGGCTGCCATCCGGTAGCCAGCAGAGGGTAACCAGGGTCATTTTGCCAATGAACCCATTTCACAGACATGCAAAAGGAGGCAACATAACCAGTTTGATGGTTCTTATTTCAGATATCCCCACCTCTCCCATGTTCCCCCACGTGTATGTGTGTGCATGTCTGCATGTGTGGGGCACATGTGTGTGTGCCTGTGCACATGGAGGCAGGAGGTTGATGTTGTGTCTTCCTTAGGCACTCTGCACTGTACAGAGGCAGCATCTCTCACTGAACCCCAAGTTCGCTCATTGAGCAGGTCTAGCTAGCTAGCTTACCCCAGGGATCCTGCCTCTGCCTTCAGAGTGTTCCATCTCTTTTGATGAGACCGGAGTCTGGCTAAGTAGCCCAGGCTGGTGTGAACAAAGGATCCTCTTGTCTCAGTCTCCCACTTGCTGGAACTACAGGTGTGTCACCAACACACCTGACAATATGCTTCCTTTAACCCAGAACAGGCTTCAAAGGACCCTAGACTCAGAAAGGACTGAACTTTAAGATTTTTAAAATTTGTATTCATGTGTATGGATGTCAAATGTGTGCAGGTACCTGTGGAATTCCAGAAGAGGATATTGGATCACCTGCCACTGGGGCTTAGATGGTTGTGAGCGACCTGACACTAAGGGAAGAAGCCATTTTCTCAAATATTCAGGATTCTCAGAGTCACAAGGCACCTGAGTTTGGATCCTGAGTCCATGGGAGCTGCAGGCTCTTGTATGTTAATTTAAGCCACTTTAACACTCTACTTTCTATTTCCCAAGTTTCAGAAGGAGTACCATTAGGCATGTGACATACTATAATCACTGGGGGAGGGAGCTTGGAAAATCAGCATCCAGGTATTTTCAGTCAATTAGTCTGTATTTTGTTGTTGTTTGTTGGCTGGAATTCAGGGCCTTCTGCATGGTCAGCAAGTGTTCTACCAATAAGCCATAACCCCAGCCACTGGAGGATTCTAGGCAGGGATTCTACCTCTGAGCTACACCCCCAGCTTTTCACATTGGGATTCTAGGCAGGGACTCTATCACTGACCCGTATTACTATCTCCTTTTTTTTTTTCTTTCTTTTTTTTTTTTTTTTTGAGACAGGGTGTCTCCCTGTAGCCCCAGCTGTCCTGGAACTCACTATATAGACCAGGCTGGCCTCAAACTCACAAAGATTCAACTGCCTCTGCCCCACAAGTGCTGGGATTAAAGACATGTACCACCACAACCGGCTTACTAATTTTTTAAAAGAAATTATTTATTTATTTATCTTCTGTATTTTGCCTGCATGTATGTGTGCAGTACCTCTTGAGGCCAGAAGCAGTTCCCCTGGAACTGGAGTTCCAGATGGTTGTTAGCTGCCATGTGGGTGCTGGGAACCAATCCTGAGTCCCCTGCAAGAGTACTCTTAACCACTGAACCATCTCTCCAGCCCCACTAGGCCCTTTTTTTTTTTTTTTTTTTTTTTTTTTTTGGTCTTTTTGAGACAGGGTCTTTCTGTAGCCCCAGCTGTACTGGAACTTAATGTATAGACCAGGCTGGCCTTGAACTCACACAGTTCAACCTGCTTCTGCCTCCTGAGTGCTGGGATTAAAGGCATGTGCCATCACACCAGGCACCCACTAGGCCTTTTTAAAAATTCTATCTTGAGGGTTGATGAGATGGTTAAGTCTGTGAAGACACTTGCCACCCAGACTGACAACCTGAGTTCAATAACCTAGGATCTACTAGGTAGAAGGAGAGTCCCACAAGTTGTTCTGACCATCAGGATGCACATTCACACACATACATATAAATAAATATGATTTTAAAATTTTAAATTTATTTTGAGGCTGGCAAGATGGTGCAATGAGTAAGGCACCTCCTGCTGCCAACTTGATGGCATGAGTTCGATTCCCAGAACTCACATAGTGGAAGGAGAAAATTGATTCCCATAAGCTATACTCTGACTTCTGTGTGTGCATCCTGCATGCATATGCACACAAAATAAATGAAAAAAAAAAAAGATCAGGCCAGCCAGGAGATGTCTTTCCTCTGCACACTTCTGTACTAAGTCCATCTTCTTGGGGTTCCTGCCTCCTCAAAGGTGGATTGTGAAAGTGTGCTGGGTTCCACAGTCATCTGGTCGCTGAAAGGAGCCACCAGAAATTCTCCTCCAGAGGGGAAATCCAGTCCCAGGTCATCAAGGGAACAGCACAAAAGCTAATTTTGGCTTGCAAAGCAACAGTTCTCCAGAAGTTTTTAAAGAAACAGATGCTTGCTTGTGTATAGAAACACACACACGCACACACATACACACACAGAGGTGCCTGACAAGTAACACATAATCTTGTTTGCATAAGAGTGTGCATCTATGGCCATAAGGTCACATGTACAAATGCATCCAAGAAAGCCAGTAATGATCTTTTCCATGGAGGTTCCAGGGATTGAACTCAGGTTGTCAGGCTTAGCAGAAAAATGCCTTTGTCCACTGAGACATCTTGATGGCCCATTAATTTTTATTTTTTTTTTTGCAAACATAGCAGGCTATTTTCATGACCTCAGAAAGGATTAAGCTAGTTTCATTTTGAGTTATCTGGGATATTTACATATCCAATTAAGAAAGGGTCCCCAAATTTCCTGGTAATTGATGTCATCTAGAAGAAAATTCTACTGTTTCTTAAATTTGTAGATTCAATAGAAAATAACAGGAGATGAATAAGACACATTTCCTTATGGTGAACTTGTATAAAAATAGAACATTCGCTGGGTGTGGTGGTGCATGCCTTTAATCCCAGCACTTGGGAGGCAGAGGCAGGCGGATCTCTGTGAGTCCAAGGCCGGCCTGGTCTACACAGTAAGTTCCAGGACAGCTGGGGCTACAGGGAGAGCCTGTCTCA